ATTTGTTCATATTTTATTTAAAACTAGACTCCGGCCCTCCAACGGTCTGAGGGACAGTGAACTGGCCCCCTTGTTTAAAAAGTTTGAGGACCCCTGATTTAAACAAACAAATGATATGTTAAACCTCTGGTTTTGTTGTTGTTGTTGTTGTTGTTGCTTTTTTTTTTTTACTGAGAATCAGGGGACCAAACTCTATTGTCACCTGAAGAAGAGGGAGGGAATGCACTTTGAGCTCTGCTAGTGGCTCTCCAATTTCTCTGCGGAGTAGGTAAAGAAAGGGAAGAGAATTGTGCTGCTAGAAACATTTGAGTGCAGCCCAATTCACAATTGCAAAGACGTGGAAACAACCCAGGTGCCCATCCATGCACGAGTGGATTAATAAAACGTGGTCTGTGTCTCAGAACCTCCTGAAGCTCCAACGATCCTCTCCGCCTCCGGCCTCCCAAGAGTGCTAAGATGGACATGGCGTGAGCCACCCACGCCGGGCCCACGCCTTTTACTGTTACTGTATTCCCTGGCTCTGCGCTTGTAACTTATCATAACATCTTCTGCAAATAAGTTTTCAATAAACTTTTCAAGCTACCGCAGAAAAAAATTAAATAATGTCCATAGAGATGGAGTTACATTACATGATATATGCTCTTTGATCTGAATATTATGTCCATAGCAAGAGACAACCTGAAACCGAGTCTCTCTGAGATCTCATTAAACTAAATATTTGGCGCGCTGTGGCTCACGCTTAATCCTAAGCTCCTTGGGAGGCGAGGCGGTGGATTGCTCAAGGTCAGGAGTTCAAAACCAGCCTGGAGGAAGAGTGAGACCCCGTCTCTACTATAAATAGAAAGAATTAATGGCCAACGAGTATATATATAAAAAAAATTAGCCGCATGTGGCATGCCTGTAGTTTCCCAGCGCACCCGGGAGGCTGAGGGCAGAAGGATCACTCGAGCCAGGCAGTTTGAGTTGCTGTGAGCTAGGCTGACGCCACGGCACTCACCTCTAGCCTGGGCAAAAAGCGAGACTCTGTTCTCAAAAAAAAAAAAAAACTAAATATTTGGTGCTGCTCAGCTGCAAGTGGCAAGCGTGTTTCGGTCATGAGTGTTGCTGCCAAAAGGAAATGAAAAAGACAACCGAAATGCAAGTTTACAACAAACAAGATTTTTTTCTGCAGTAACAATAGCCGCCTCCGCTGGGTTCAGGACCAGATCACCCCTCCCCACTCTAAGCCCAACCGCCAGCAGGAGACAAGACTTTAAGCTGGAGGAACCTTCCAGATGGGGGAATGCAGAGTCTTTGGCGAACAGTGCATCTTCTGTATAAGCTTATTATCGCAAAAGACAGGCATTGCTTCGTGGTTTTTTCTGTTTGTTTGTTTGTTTTGAGACACCAGTTCGCTCTGTTGCCCAGCCAGAGTGATGGCCGTGGCGTCAAGCCTCGCTCACAGGCAACCTCAACTCCCTGGGGCTCAAGCGATCCTTCCTGCCTCAGCCTCCTCCCAGTAGCTGACTACAGGCATGCGCCAACCACGCCGGTAATTTTAATATAATATTATAATATATATATATAATATATTATATTCATTGGCCAATTAATTTCTTCTATTTTATAGTAGAAACGGGGTCTCGCTTTGCTCAGGCTGGTTTTGAACTCCTTGACCTCGAAGCATCACCCACTTAGCCTCCCAGAGAGCTAGATTACAGGCGGTGAGCCACCGCGCCCGGCCCCTATTTATTTTATTTTATTTATTTATTTTATTTTCATTTAAATGAGTTCAATTACCATAAAGTAGAATGGTTTTAGGAGACCAAATGTTTTATTGTGGTAGAAGTTGGCTATGGGTATGAATGGAAAGCTTGGGGTAACTTAGAAAAAAAAAAAGAATGTAATGAAGTTAGAGAAAGGTATTAGACAGGTGGTGGATTTTAAAGCAAGTATTTGTTAGTAATTAATTACTAAGTACTAATAATCAGTAATTAGTGATTGGTACACAGGTAACTGGAGAAGGGCAAAATGAACTCATGCATCCACATTTGTAATGCTAAAGAAAATTCTAAAGTAAAAAAAAAAAATGAGGAAACAATTTAAATAAAACCAACAGGAGGAAGAGGAAGAAATGGTTATGTTTCATAAGAACAAGCTTGAATCTACTAACTATTTTAGAAGACCGGCATCACTGAGTTTGGCTTTTTTTTTTTTTTTTTTTTGAGACAGAGTCTCACTCTGTTGCCCGGGCTAGAGTGAGTGCTCGTGGCGTCAGCCTCGGCTCACAGCAACTCCAACTCCTGGGCTCAAGCGATCCTCCTGCCTCAGCCTCTCCCTGAGTAGCTTGTGACCTACAGGCGTGCACCACCACTCCGGTAATTTTTCTTACATATTTTCTAGTTGCCAATTTAATTTTCTATTTGGGTAGAGATGGGGGTTTCGCTCCTTGCTCAGGCTGGTTCTCGACTTCCTGACCTCCAGTGATCATTCGCCTCGGCCTCCCAGAGTGCCAGGATGACAGGCGTGAGCCACGGCGCCCGGCCTGAGTTTGGCTTTACTGTTACGTTGTCAACTACATAGGAAAGCAACATTGAAACCGCTTCAGTGTTTGTTGTGAAGCGGTTGTCAAGGGTGATGCTGGTCTTGTCACGCATGGTCCCCTATCAAGACTCATCTCAGAAGTCTGTCACTTCCTCCTTTCCGTTATTTATCATACCTATGCAAACCGGTTTCTTGCCCTGACTACCAGCACCAGGAAGCCCATAGTACATTTTTTTCGCTCATTTGCAAAAGCCTGTTAAGTTCCTATGATTATCTCGTTGCATCATGCTCCTCTCCAAAAACCTTAACTTTCCTTTTTTATATTGTATTAATGTCCTGCAGCTTTGCAATATTGTATTAATGTTCTGCAGTTTTGCAATATTGTATGAATGGTCCTTGCATTTTAATATTGTATTAATGTTCTGCAGCTTAGCAATATTGTATTAATGTTCTACAGTTTTGCAATATTGTATTAATGTTCTGCAGTTTTGCAATATTGTATTAATGTCCTGCAGTTTTGCACTATTGTATTAATGTTCTGCATAATTAACCGTTATGTTCTATGCATCCTCCAATACTTTTTGGAAAGAGGCAAGATTTAAACCAGGCTTCCTCAAACTATGTCCCGTGGGCCACATGCGGGTGTCTTTGCCCGTTCGTTTTTTTTTTTTTACTTCAAAATAAGATTCGTGCAGTGTGCATAGGAATTTGTTCATATTTTATTTAAAACTAGACTCCGGCCTTCGTGGATATAAGTTTCTCCTACTGGACTAACACTTTTCAAATCCTCCAAGCCTTTACTGATTTTGCCTCTGGAAAAAAAAAAAGAAAAAAAGAGTTAATATTATCATGTTAAACAAAAGAAAAATGAGCAAAAAAAAAAAATCACGATAAACACTTGTTGAAAAACGTGGCAATATTGCAATTGAGGTTTTCTTCAGTAAGAAGGAGAGGGAAAGGATGTGGGCTTTGGTGGCAGATAACTCCTTATGCTTTTTGCCGCTGTAATAAGTATTTAATAACTTCTGTATTTTAACTACGAAAAAATAATAATAATAAAAGTACTAACAAGGCCTCGAAAAAATCTAAGCCTAGTCTAGGTCTCTTGAGCTGAGAACAGATATCTAGATATCTTCAATTATACTTGTTTTTTGTGTTTTTTTTGAGACAGAGTCTCACTTTGTTGCCCGGGCTAGAGTGAGTGCCATGGCGTCAGCCTCGCTCACAGCAACCTCAGACTCCTGGGCTCAAGCGATCCTCCTGCCTCAGCCTCCTCCCGAGTGGCTGGGACTACAGGCATGCTGTGCTACCACGCCCCGCTAATTTTTTTCTATATATATTAGCTGGCCAATTAATTCCTTTCTATTTATAGTAGAGACAGGGGGTCTCGCTCTTGCTCAGGCTGGTCTCGAAAGAAGGGCTTTTATTTTATTTTTTTTTATTTTATGAAGCTCCTTGGGTGATTCCAACGTTGGGCCAGGTTGCAGAACTATGGTGCATCTGTGCAAATGTGTCTGCCAACCAGTTTGTTATGCCCTGTCTCGCACCTGTTTTATCTTAGCGGGTGAGAGGTGCCATGCATGCCTTCGCGAGTCCAGTGTTGTGGTTGAGTAAGGCGGCACGTTCATGGCTATGCTGCTGTTGTGCTCTCCCTCTTCATTCCTTCCTTCCCTTCCTTCTTCCTCCCTTCCCTTCCCTCCCGTTTTCCTTCCCTTCCCTTCCTTCACCTATCCCTTCCCTCCGCTCCTTCCCTGTACCCTTCCCTCGTCTTCCTTCCACTATCCCTTCCCTTCCCTTCCCTTTCCCCTTCCCTTCCCTTCCCTTCCTTCCTTCCCCCTTCCCTTCGGTCCCCTCTACGGATGGCTGGTGGGGTGATCGCCCATAGTCTCTTTTCTCCCTTTCTTTACCTTTTTTCTTTTCTTCCTCCCTTCCCTTTTCCCCTTCCCCTTCCCTTACCTCCCTTTCCCCTTCCCTTCTTCCTTTTCTCTCTCTTCCTTTTTCCTCCTTTTTTCTTTTCCTTTTTTCCCTCTTATTTCTATGCCCTGTTTCCCTTCCTTTTTTGATTTGTTTTCTCCCCTTTCCCCTCTTCCCTTTTCCTTCCTCTTTTTTCTCCTTTCCGCCTTTCTCTTTTTCCTTCTCTTTTTCTTCTTTTTTTTTTTTTTTTTTTTTTTTTTTTTTTTTCCCCTCCCCTGGTTTTCTTTTTTCTTGTTTTTTTTTTTTTTTTTTTTTTTTTCCTTTCCTCTTCATTCCCTTCCCTTCATTCTCTCGCCCTTTCCTTCCCTTTCTTTTCCTTCCTTTTTTCCCTTTCCTTGTCTTCTTTTTCTTTCTTTCCTTTTCCTTTCTATCTCTTTCCTTTACCCTCTTTTCCTTTCCTTTTCCTTTCTTCCTCTTT